CCCCCCCCCCCCCCCTGTGCCTGTCTGTCCGTCAGCAAGCGAGAAAAGTGGACAAATAAATCGCCGTCCGCAGTCCAGTAGCGTAGCAGCACTCCCCCAGCCAGCCAGCCAGCCACTCGTACACAGATGCATTGCATTTACTGTACAGACAGACAAACAGCTGTGGTAGGGTGTGGTCGTGTGTGTGGGTGCCTCTGGCGGCCGGGCGCTGTGTCGTGTGGCGATAGGTCGCTTGTTGGTTTGGTTCATTCAGAGGAGGACTTGTAGTAGTTCTACTTTGAGTTCGCTGAGTCGCTGTGCGGCCGTCCACAGGCCGAAGCGGTTGGTGGGAATCCGCATCGAATCCACACTGCAGGCAGGCAGGCAGGCAGAAATACACACCCATTAGTGTCCCGCACAGACACCACACCTATGCATTGCATTCGTTAACACATCAGTGGCTGTCTGGCTCTCTGTCTGTCTGCCGCACTGACTGACTGACCACTGGAAGAATCTGTCCTGGTCGAAGGTGAGTGGGTCCGGGGGCCGATGCAGCAGCTTGATGCAGCCCTCAAACGGAACTGCACCCACGCAGAACCACAGACAAAGGTCAACCAACAGTCGATGGATGCATGTGTGTCTGTCTCTGTGCCTGAATGGCGTGTGTGGTGTGTGTACCTACCTGTGATGAGTGCGTGTTCGTGGTATTTGAGTATGCCGAGTGCGGTCTGCACGCTGAACGCCTCGCCGAGGAGGAAGAAGGTGTCCCACACCCGACACACCACGTGCAGCGGCAAACAGGTGCTGAACAGCGTCAAATACCACTGAATCAAATACGTGTCCGGCGTGATGTCCAAAGCATCGAAATGCGCTGCCTGAACACACACACACACACACACATCAACACACATCAACACACCCACAGAGGGATGGGGGCAGACATTGTGTGTGTGTCTCTCTCTCTGTGGACATTTATGTGCGAGAAGCCGACCAGTAGTGGAAGTCGTTCTTTGAAGACCGTCTCGAAGAAGTCGAAGCGCCACTTCCCGCCCCTGAAGAACCGAAAATGAATAGAAAGCTGGTACACACAGTTGGCTGCCTGGCCTGGCTGCACTTTGACCGACCTTCTGTTGACTTTGATAAGGTCGATGAAGAAGTGCGAGTGGATCAGGTTCACGAAACACACAAACGCCTGAACGAACGAACACATCCTGGTAGGTATCTATCATTGATTGCAATCCATCCCTGTCTGTCTGTCTGTCTGTGAGCCAAGCCACTTGCTGCGCTTCGCTTGCCTTGGGTGGGTTCATGAAGTAGAGCAGCAGGGCGGCGATGCTCGCAAGACCCTGCACATACCCCACCTTAAGGTATGACCACACACACACACACACACACACACGCGTGTTGTGTTGTGTTTCATTCTCTCTCTCTCTCTTTTTGTGATGGTATGTATGGTGGTGTGTTGTGTGTATGTCTTCCTTCACCCACCTCGGGTCTGAATACGATGTATGATTCGATGATGTCAACGAGGGCCCGCTCGATGGTCGTGGGGCCGTGTGTGAGGGTGCTCTCGGCGTCAGCCAACGACGGCACCACACCCAACGCACTGTAACTACGAGTCACCCTGCAAACAATCAAACCATCAATGCAGCCAGCCACCGAATCATCCATCGCACAGACAGATGAAAAGTGCCCGAAAATGGCCCCACGTGTATGTTGTATCACCTCAAGTCGTCCACAACGCCAAGTGGGGTGAGGTCGGCACTGAGGGGGGTGAAATCGGCCGTATTCTCACCCCCACCCTCCCCCTCGCCCCCTGCACTATCCCCCCCAGCAGCAACCCCGTTGCCATTGCTCCCCTCCATCTCCTCGGTGACCGTGGGGCCCTTCTCGCCCTCGGGGGGCAGCATGAATGCACTCGTCGACCGCCCAAGGCCCACATCGCTGGGTCGCGGGTGTGACGGGTGCGGCCCCACTGTCTGCGGCTGCAGCGCCTTGATGGTGCCGGACACCGACACCACAGAGTCACCCGACAGCGATGTGCCCGACCCGAAGGCCAGAAGGTCGGACAGACGACGGTCCTCCCCCTCTCCCCCTCCTTGTGGCTGCTGTCGTTTTGGTGGGGGCAGGGGGGGTTTCTTGGGTGACTGTCTGCGCGACGCTCCCCCCTCGGCCATGGCGACGGCCGTGACGTTCTCCGATAGGCTGAGCTCGAATGAGGAGGCGCTGCCATCGTAGAGAGACGACACATTCGACCGCTTCATGTGCCGTGGGGAGACGTCGAGGGACCTGCTGTGGCGGTAGGCCTTTTTCTTCCTCCCCTGTGGTGACTCGGGGGGGATCCCTTCGTCCGCATGTCGGCCCGACTGCGCCAGCTGGTCGATGAGCTGTTTGCGCCGCTCCTCTGTCTGCTCGCTGACGTCGATGGAGAGGGCCTCGATGGACGTGTCGGCCGTCTGGCCAAAGCCGGCCTCCAACGGCAGCAGCCGGGGCATCACCCTCGATGCCTCCTAAATGCGCGAGTCCATCCATCCATCCATCGCACCCACGGTGTATGTATTTGTGTGAGACATGTGGGCCACCCCCCCCCCCCCCCCCCCCCCCCCCCCCCCCCCCC